TGCCAGAAAAACTCTGTATGTTTTTAAAGCTGATGGGCTCACCTGATTCTTTTTTTTTCTTCTCTTTTTAAAATTAGCACATAGCAGTTGTATAGGGGGATACACTGTGATATATGCATATATATATCACACACATATATATGTGCTTGCAATATATCTTAATTAGATTTACCCCTCCATCACCTTCCCTCCTCCCCCTTTCTTTCCCCCTTTTAGAAAAAATTCAACAGGTTTTATACTTCTATTTTCATATACGAATACTAAACACATCCACCATATTCACCCTCATTCACCCTTTCCTTATGCTGGCCCCCCTCCTACTAGTTTTACCCTCCTGTCCTTCAATTTCTTAGAAGTATATATTTTTTGCCCTGGCATTCCAGACATGTATATATCATGCTTCGATCAGATTAAATCCCACATTACTTACATTTTCTCTGTCACATGCTCCCCTATTATTCAATAGCTTACAGTGCATTATGTTTCATTATATTCATTTATAGAAGGGATGTTTCAATATTTTTCATTCACTAGCACTTTTTATAACCAGGTTGTTTTTATAACTTCCTTTCCTCTATTATTTCATTTGCCAACCAACCTTTTTCAATCCTATCTGATTGAGAGAAGAAACAATGTTCTTGGTTTGGAAATGGATAGAGGATTCCTAGGCCTAATATATTGCAGGAGCTTTGAAAATATTAGTTGAGTTAACGAATGAGAACAATATGCTTCCAGTTAATGATGGGTATTTTTATAAAATCATATCATTTTTTAATCCCCATAAAGCCTACAAATATGATATGTGAAAAGCCACTGAGCTGATATTTTTTTAACTCTCTATTAATAGTAACCACTTCTCAATATTTTATTTTAAAAGCTTACTAGTCTTATTGATAATAGAATTAGGTGGCCGCAGGTTAAACTGTAGGGTAATAAAGCAGAGAATCATGAGAAACTTACTTTGGTGAGCTGAGAGTGTAAAAGTAATTTCATGAAGTGATAAAGAAAGGGATTTTATGTTTACAGACTATAAATAGGAAGGGAGAAGTTATGCACTAGTGAGAACTTTCTGAATGTGTATTTTCACATTTTATTAGTATTACTTCATCTATCACTCATGACAATAAACATTCTTTGAAAATATAGATCATATGGCTGTATGATTGCCCATTCTTCTATTGGTAGGTACTCAGGGCTCTTTTTTTCTTTTTTTGAGTTGTTTCTGTTATGAACAATCGTTTATGTAATTTTAAAATATATTATTAAATATATTTAAAGGTCTTTTTCTTTTTGTTTGGCAGTACTGGAGTCTGAACTCAAGGTCTTGAATTTACTTAACAGGTGCTCTACCATTTGAACCATGCCCCAGCCCTAGAGGAGGTTTGTTTCTTTGAAAACTTCCTCATTGCTAGAAAATTAAAAACGAACAACTAATGATGATAAAAATGGACAATTATAAAGGAATATATAGAATACTAGATGTACGTAAATAGTCTTAACACATCAGCAGAAGCTGACAGCTGTAAAAGAGGAAACAGACAAATACAAACCATCACAGAAGGTTTTAACCTACCCCTATCGGTACATGAGTCCAGAGGCACAGGACTGATGACTGATGTGGAAGTTTGTGCCATCTATTTGTGTAGTTTATCTGGGTTTGCTGTAAGTGATCCTGGGTGAATAGTTTTCATTTTATTATTAATTATTAATAATACCAGTATGATAGAACACAACTCATAAATAGTTTTGGTCACATATTCACTGGATGGTAAGCAACATGGGCTCTGTGAGGGTCCTTACCATGTCAGGTTGCATTTGACAATAAATGTTTCTCTGAGGCAGATGGTACTGTCTTTCTTCAGAAATCTGGCTTATGTGCTGCAGCTCCTTAAATTATAGCTCGTAAGAGGCTATAAGATGGCATGTTTATCTAACACAGAATTTTATGGAACAAACAATCCAAGTGACAGATTTTCTCATTTACTTCAATCTAAACCATTGGAACTTCTAGGTCCAATGACAGGGCTATTAAATGACAGTGTTGAATAGCAGGGCTGCTATGCTACAACCTAGATGTGCTGGAGAGCCCTTATTGGCTTTGGGACACACACAGATCTAGCAGTTTACCATTTCACAAATAAAAGATTCAAACAGCATTCCCTGAAGCAGAATAAAGTGCTTACCAAACCCAAGCATTGTACTTTTTTTGTTAAGGGTGAGAATTTCAAGATATGAAAGTTTATAATATGCTTTGAAATGTATGTCCCTGCATTTCCCAAAGGACAAGACCCCCTAAAAAACGTCACCTCTAAATATAAATTTTATCTCTATTAGCTCTTACTTTCCAGGGCATATGTGTTCTAGCAAACCAATGGGTTTTCACCTTTTCTTTTCTTATCAGATCTAAATAATTTAATGTCATAAATATAGCATGCTGATATGATCTTCTGTGGGAATATCCATATGGGCTCATGTCCTTTAGACAGAACAATGGAGGAGTAGGCAAATAAACACAGCCTTGATTAAGACAATGGAATCTGTATGTCTATTCCATATGAATGAAAAGTACTGCTGATTCTCCTTTTTCAGGCATTGAAAGCAGTATGCTTGCTTGATCAGTAGCTGCATGCAAAGTACCAGAGGTTGTGGTAATCTGCTCTGGTAAGATCCCACACCCACCCCACCCCATCCCAGCTCTGCATAGCAGGTGGAGCTACTCCTTTAGTTTGTGGGTGGTCCAGTGTTATTCTTCATGATCCATCCAGTTTTGCAGAGGTCATATTAGTGAATCAAATGAGATATAATGGATATATATACTTCATCATTTAAATCTTCAAGAGTAGCACTTAACCACTGTCACCCTGAGAATAAATATTGGCTTCCTCTCTTGGTTGGTAGTGTAGGTGGTAGAGCAGTTTCAAAGGCTTTTCTTACTTACTCTTTAGGTCAAAAAACCAATATGAGTTGGCATTTTTATATTGAATTATGAAATGTACTGAGGTACTTTGAAAAATAAAAATGTAATTCTCATATAATAATTTTATCCTTTTAAAGTATATAAAAACCAATGAATTTGGGCAAATATATAAAGTCAAGCATTACCAGAGTCAAAATATCATTTTTTGTCATCCAAAAATGTCTCTCATGCTCCTTGTATTCAATTGCCTAAACTGTACTAGCCCCTAGCAACCACTTACCTGTTTCCTACTCCTATAATTGGAATTTCACATAAATGAAATTACAGAGTGTATAATCTTTTCTGTGGGTTCTTTCAGTTAGCATAAGAGTTTCAAAATTGATACTTATTGCATGTATCAAGTATCAATAGTTAATCCTTTTATTGCTGAGTCACATTCAGTTTGGCAGTTTTATCATAATTTATCCATTGGACAGTTGGTGAAAACAGTTGGGTTGTTTCTAATTATGTTTTATGAATTAAACTGTTATGGACATTCATGGCCAGGTGTTTGTATGAATATGTTTTAATTTCTCTTGGTAAAATATACAGGAGTATAATTCCCGAGTTTTAGAATAAATATCCAATTCATCAGCAAATTGTTTTTCAAATTGCTGTGTCATTTTATTTCCCTACCAGCCATGTTTGAAAATTCCAGTTGCTCAACATCCTTGCCAACACTTTTTAACTATTCTAGTAGGTCTGTCGAGGTTTCTTCTTGTTGTTTTGTTTCACCTATCTCTGATGAACACTAATATTGAGCAGCTTTTCAGGTACTTCCTAGAAATATGTGTATCTTTATAGGTGAAGTGTTTGTTAATCTGTCAATGTTAATATTGAGTTGTGAGTTCTTCATAAATAATGGATGTGCTCTTTACGAGAACATAAATGTTTTCCATGTGTTTCCTTATAATCTGTGCCTTTCACTTTTATAGCACTGTCTTTCAAATAGCAGAAGTTATTTATTTTGAGGAAGTTGGTTTTATCAATGTTTTCTGCTTTTAGTGCCCTATGAAATCTTTGCCTGATTCGGGGTACAAGGATTTTCTTCTATGTGTTCTTCCATAAATCTTATAGATTTAGTTCTATGTTTAAGTTTAGGATGTATTATGAATTAAGTTTTGCATGTAGTGTACAGATCAAGTTTCTAATTTTGGTACTTGGATATCCAATTGTTCCATATCATTTACTTAAAACTTTGTCCTTTCCCCATTGACTTTGTTGCTACCTTGGCCAAAGTAAGCTATGAACATGTATATGTGCATATATAATATCTGATCTCTATAAGACAGATCTTGTATCTCTATTCTTTTCCATTTAGCTAAGTATCTATCCTTAGGCCAATGTCAAATTCTCTTGATTATTATAATATATAATCCTTGAAGCTAAATACGTAGGTTCTGCAACTGGGTTCTTCTTTTAAAATGGTTTTGGGACTTAGTCTTTGACCAAACTAGTAATGTGTAATACTGGTACCCTGACCCATACCAAATTATAAAAGAAGGAGAGTGGCTCTCTGTAGAGTGGACAGAAGATACACAGCTCTTTTTGGTGGAATGATTCATAATGAGATCATAATGAGAGGCTACTGTGACCTTATGATTATGGCACAGACTTCATTTCCAAAAGACTATAAGTACCCAACTCCCATAGTGCACTGAAAATTACATTAAGGCATCAGTAACAATTAAATTTATATTTAAGAAGATACAATTTTAATTTTATTTAATCCAGTTCAGCAATACATAGTCATATCAACTACACAGACAGAAACTTCTAGCCAAGAACATTGATTTTTCTGTACAAGATCTTTAAAAAATCCACTTCAATAATCTACGAGGGTGGTTTAATAATTTTTAAAAATTATATTTTCATGTGTAATGTCATTTTAAAAGAAAAAATGATTTGTTTCCTTCTTGTCATTGTTTTTAAAATACAAAGTTTTTGACCTTTGCTCAAGATAATTTTCTCTTCAGATTGCAGTATAAATGACGTTAAACATTGCTACAAACAATGTCCACTGCCTTCAGCAGAATTCTAAGTACTAAAGAGGGCAAAATGTCACTTGAGATTTTTTTTTCTCCTCCAGCTGTACATACAATTTGACCTCAGTGTTGCCACCACTGAATGCTTCTCCTTTGGTCTCCTCTACTGGATTCTCTCTCTGGGATAACTTTGCTTTCTTCTGCATCATTGTAATTTCTGAATTTGCATGCTTCCGAGCTGGAGAGAAGGTTTCTTTTACTATGCGATAACAAACTGCAGACAAAAAATTTTTTTTGAAGTTTTCATTCATAAATGCATAAACAATGGGATTACAGATGGAGTTGGAAAATCCAATTACTTGCACTATAGCGAAAATCATCTTGATTGCGATGTCATCATATTCCTTTTCAAAATTACCTGAAATAAAGTAAAACTTGAGAATGCTTATTGATTTTATTAAGGAAAAAAAACCCCTACTGCTTAAGAGTATAAAAAGTTCTCAAGGCCAGTTTGGGAGAGACAGCTGATATCTGAATAAAATAACTTTTTTTTTTTTTTTTTTTGTTTGAATAAAATAACTTTTGTGACAAGCCTTTTTTCTTAGAAAATTTAGTCTTACATGTATAGGCTGGTGCCCAGCATGTATTGCAGAGTTCATAGAATTTTAACCTGATGACTCCAAGTTTCATGCAAATTAGAAGCAATAGTTATCCTTCAAATGGCCACTTACACTACAGAAACATAGCTACACAGTTCAGTCCTGGCTTATCAGAGGAATATACTGAGGGACAGACTGAAATCCTAGGTATTGTTAAATACATAAGGTGCAAGTCAGAATTCTAAGTAGAGAAGACTTATAAGGTGTCACACTTCTCTGCTGTTAAGTAGCTTAGGGAGAAGAGGAATAACATGGGCAAAGAGCCTCAAAGCTTTTCCTTATCTGCTGTAATTACTAAAGACTTAGTCCTAGTTATGCATAACCTACTACATAGGGATCTGATGACCTTTAAAACATGAAAGAAATGTGTTCAGTGTTTGATATGTTATTAACCAAGTGACTAACGACCAATTTCAATGATTCCTTGTCTATTCCAGCAGGAAATGAACTAGAAGTTCTGTCAAATGATAATGGCAAACACTCACTGTATTCAAGCATCATGTGAACCACATGGAAGGGTGCCCAGCACACAGCAAACAGAGCCACCACTGTCACCATCATAAGGACAGCTCGCTTCTTCTTCCTAAAACCACAAAGAAACATTGTATCAGTTAGTTTTCCCTTGGCAAATGTGTCAAATTGATGGCTGGCAAAGCTATTAAGCAAAATTTGAGCCTTGACTGTCAACCACAATTTTCAAATATTAGCAAAGTACATAATAAGTTAACTGTGAGCTGATTATCATCTTTCTCATTAATTTTATCTTAATTCTTTTATTTTTCATATTGTAAATATTATAATGTGTGCTTACTATAGATCTGAAACTCTGCTAGGTGACTGGCATGGATTATGTAATTAATCTTCCTGTAAGGTACTGGACAGATGCAGAAACTGAGGCACAGAGGTTAAATCATTCACAAAGTCAGATGGCTATTAAGGGATGTACTTGGGATTTGAATTTACTCAGTTTAACTTTAGTGACTAAGCTTTTATTCACTATATGTTAAAAACAATTCATAGTCCTGACAGTAAAAAATCAGTATTTATGAAACATAGTAAACCTTGCAGTCATTTATTATACAAATAATATGAGTAACCAGGGATTCAAACTAAGTTTTTTCACTCCTCTTTTAAAGTGGATTTACAGTTGCAATAAATCTACCTATTTGCATGGTGCCTTAAGTTCTTAAAGTTCATGATTTTTATCTCTCATTCAACCTGGTCACCATTTCTTCTAAGGAAGTGGTACAGCTAATTCAGTAGTAAGTTCCAAGGTGCTGAACAGTCCCAGGGCTCCTGTACATTCCAAGGGAGAATTGCATTACACAAACTGGGCACTAGAGGTCACTGCAGTGATAGTATAAAATCCCAACAAATCACTAGACTTCATATAGGATATTGTTTGGTTTAGTTTTAATTCTCATTCAATATAGGTTGTAAAATAAGTCACATGTACTACAAATACCATAGCAATAACTGTGTTTTAAAACTGATACTAATAATGCTTGGCTCATGCCTGCAATCCTAGCTACTCAGGAGGCAGAGATCAGGAGGATCACAGTTCATAGCCAGTCCAGGCAAATAGTTCATGAGACTCAATCTAGAAAAAATCTCACCATGAAAATAGGGCTGGTGGAGTGGCTAAAGGTGTAGGCCTTGAATTCAAACCCCACTACCACACACACACACGCACACACACAAATTGATGCTAACGAATGAGGTCAGAAAACATTGTCTTTAGGTAAAAACAAAATAAAAACAGTAATACTTTAAAATAAATAGAAAGCTCTGGTTTCAAGGGATTTTTGTACGAGCCATGTCATGTATTTTGGCATAATCCTTGAGTAAGAGGAAGTAAAGATGGATGTTTTGTGACCCTCATACACACGATAAATGCATTGGCAGGGGCGTTGAGAGGAAGGGTGCTGGTCTACATCATGATCCTGAAAATGACAAAGAAAGGAGAGCACTGCGGGCTTACAGAGTCCTGGAATGAGTTCACAAGTCTTCCTACTATGCCATATTTACTTACAGGTGAAAATGAACAATGTTCTAAATTCTAATTAAGTTATTATCTATAGCCCTAACTTCTCTTTTAAGAGCTGATGACTTGCTCTTTCTACCACAAATAAAACCTTGCAAAGCCTCAAAGGTTTAAAGTCAGCCCATGCTCTAATTTGAATTGCAACTGATGCTCTGACTAAATTACCTAGGGATTCTGGGTTCCCTTGCAACCATCCCTTCCAGCACAACTAATTAAAAATATTTTAAACAAAGGTAAATATTTCATTAGACATACCTGGCTATTTTGGACATTTCTTTTCCATGAATAGTTAGAAGCACAGAACCATCCCCCACTCTTTTCTTGATCCAAAGTTCATAACCAATTTTACTGTATAGGACAAGCATCACCATAAGAGGCAGGAGGAAGAGGATGACAAGGATGAAGGTGGTGTAGACTTTCTGGTGCACAGGACTGGTCCACTCTTCCAAGCAGCAGATATGTTCTTTTTCATATAGGAAGTCATACTTAACCTTTACAGCAAGAATAATTTGGTTAAAAAAACCCAAAAGTCAGCCTCAAAAGAATAGAAATCAGCCAAGTATTATTGCAATATAGCAATTTTAAACTTTCAAATTTACCACTGGTACATATTTTCCAATTTTTTTTTTGTAAATTATAGGTTTTGCATTTAACTGCTTACATTTGTGAGAGTTTTGTACTTTTCTTTTTGTAAAATTTTTTTATTATTCATTTATTCACATGTGCATACATTGTTTGGGTCATTTCTCCCCCCTGCCCCCCTCCCCTGTTCTTTCCTCCCTTCTCCCCTTACTTCCAGGCAGAACCTGTTTTGCCCTTATCTCTAATTTTGTTGAAGAGATGTACTTTTCTTTTTAAGTGGAATTGCGATCTGGGTCTGTTTACTTTTCTTTTTTCTTTTTCAACTTGTATTTCCACGAGTCACAAATTTTTATGTTTTTCAGTTGGCTGAAAGAATTATTAAAATATTTTGTATTATATGCCAGCTAGCTCAATATTTATTAAACTAATTATTGAAGAAACAGATTTGGCAAGTCATCAGACTTCTTCTAAATAAGAGTTAGGGTAACTTTTTTTTTTAAACTAATTATTTCATATTGGAATGATCAGATTGTTTGGAAAGGTATCCAAAAGGCAACTGGTAGCTTTTGAATTCTGAGATGAATGAGAAATTGGATTTAGACTATTGCCAATTTATAAATATTCGGGCTATATTTCTTTGCTGCGTTATTCATGCTATTTATGGTAGATTCATCTTCTTATAAATTCTGAAGCATTATTAACAGCAATAGCAGCAATAGAAAGTGCTAAAAGGGCTTAGTTCAAGAACAAAGTAAACATTGAAAGCATATTCAAAAGCATGTGTCTGGGCAATGACAGGTTTTTTTTTTTTTAATGAGCATAAAGTTAGCAAAATTGTTATTTTAGCCACTCTGCTATTTTCCAGATGAATATAAAAGTCCTGGACAAAGTTCTGCTTATATTTCCAGAAAATCTCATCACCAATTAACAACATCAATTGGTAAGAAAATTTAAGTTATGAACGATAGCATTTACTGAAAAATTATTTCAAGATCTAAACTCCCCAGAAATAGATGTAAAAATGAAATTTATTCTGACCCCAGAGGTAGACCCTAGAGGGTCAAGGGCCTTGGGGGTTGTTATTGATGCATCCTAAACGTTCATACTAGGTTAGAAGTCTCCATACCAGTTCATGTAGCCCTAGAGATGAGCAAAGACCCTCAAATGGGCTTATGGCAATGTTTTCCAGATTCTTTATTTCCAAATATCTCTATGCTTCTACTGCTCAAGGCAGTGCTGGGAGTTCAGACACCATGCTGAGCCAGCGCACCCACTTTTACCTTCATAATAACCTTTATCCCAACTGAGGAAAGTGGCATTTCTCACCCACTCCAGATCTTACCATGGGGCACCAAAGAAAGAGATGATTTAAATTATTGATGTCAGTGAGGCCATCTTTGTCCAGGCATCATAAACCCGTGGCAAGGACTTGTGCTTTTTCTTGTCTTAAACTTATTTCTATTCAGGGTAAAATCTGGCATTAGAAAAAAAAATAGTATTTTGACTAGTGCTGGGATATTGTGAATTCATTTTCATATAGTGAGGAGACAGAAGTGATGATAATTTTAATTTAATAACCTCCTTCAATCCCAGAAAATTGTCAAATACATCACTCCTGAGAGAGAATCCACAGAGAACAAAGCAAAGAGAGAAATTTGGAAGATGGACCACCATCTTGAATGCTTTATGTCATTCAGGTGAGGAATTTGGGCTCCCTCATGCTTGCTTGCACGCTCCCTAATAGAATTTTGTAGTGAGAAGATGAGTCATGGAATGAAAATTAATACATTCATTTTATTTCAAAAATGAAATCAACCTTTTTCCTGAGAGAAATAACACATGATTTGGATGATCTGTTTGACAGTGAGCATAGCTTTGCCAATTAGATTATACAGAATGAATTTTCAACAAACTATATGAGCTATATATTTAAAATATATAAATATATATATATATTTTCATTGTATAAAGTATACAATGAAATTATCTTATTTTAAAATTGGTAGGTCTGTTTGTTTTCTATGGACCAAAAATGGACCCCATGATTGGGAACTAGAGTGTGTCATTTGTAAAAGGCTCCAGCAATTTGAGTTTCCTGATGGAAGTAAGGACAAAATCAGCAGACAGGAGCTGATATTGTAAGTGGTGTGTGGAAGCGCAAAGGGCTACATGAGCTGCTTGCTGGAGAATAAAGAAGCCTCAGTGGTACCACCATGGAGAAACCCTGAAGGTAAACAATCAATCAAGCCACGCCATACCTAGAGGGCACTAGAGTACATCTACCTCTTTCCCCCATTGTCCTCATTTGCTCATCAGGAGAGAAAGGCCTCCATTGCATGGCGGTGGGATGAGGAAACCAAGAACTCCTTCACATTTCTAAGCTTAAATTAATGCAAGCTGAGGGAAAGGCAAAGTTTTAAATTGATTGAGAGCATGAATTTATATGACTGTGGCACTGGCCTGGACATTTTATACTGGAACTAACACTTTTTTGTGACTGAAAGTGACCAGAGAAATTTAATTATCTGAATGGCTGGAGGAGTTAAAAGGCCCACTCAAGGTCTTATCCACGACATTTCATCATGAAGACTGGGAAGTCCTCAGATGGCTTTTTTATACCTGGCCACGGATGGAATAAAGTTGTTTTCTGCTCTCACAAAGTCCAGTTCTACAAAAAAATATCAGGCTACTTTTCAAGTGTGATTTTACCTTAGGTTTCACTTGATATGCTGGCTGATGGTTGGGGCATGTCCAGTAAAGCTTTACATTTGTCTATCTCTATTTTTAAAAGGTACAAAAGGATATATGATATATATTTTAAGTCTCTTATGTAGTGTGTAAGTAACACTCTACTGTCTTTGGACTCCTGTCTGTGTTAGAGCATCTATGGAAGACATGATCAGGCACACCAGGCGGACTGGGCTGCCCAGAACCACCACACTTTTCCCTTTACTTGAATCTCCACAAACGGTGGGGTCATCCGACAAAGCTGTGGGGAAAAGGAGAGAGATTGGGTAAGATGATCCCCCAATATTTTTCCAATTCAAATTTCCATTTTTTCAGTAATAGGAGGCAGGTAAAAAAGGCTCTGTGAAGAAACTCAACTAATAAGTCGATAATTTATTGCAAATTTTTAAATGAGACTTAAAAAGAAAAGAAAAATTTAGATTAGTCTTTGAACTCTTAAAATGTAACATGACACTGAGGGACACTAGGAAAAGCATGCTCAGCTTGTAGGAATGTAGAAAGTGACCTTGGAACTTTAAAAATGTTTTATTTTAAGCACTGAAGTTTTAACATTAGAGTACCAAAAGGAGTTAGATAAAACAGGGAAAGAAATCTTAAGACAAATTATTTTATTCTACTTGAAAGACTTCCAATGAAATAGATAAGGCCATACAAATTTGCTCTTGAAGGAAGAAAACAATAATTCAGAGGGGTGGAAAAGTATTTTAATAATACAATTCTCAATCCCAGTTCCCAATCTACCTCCAGTCGTTGTACGTGCAACATGGGTGATCCTACGATGACTGCAACCAGCCAGACCACACCTGTAAAAATGTTACAATCGTCAGAATATGGCTCAGCTAAGTAAAACACAACCAGGCTTAATTCTCTAACCATCAAGACTCCCTATCTTCAGTGCATTCTATCTCCTCTGCCCTGAGACAATGGATGATCTCACAGGGTCTCAATTCCTTCATCACCCTAAAACTGCTGCTAGAATAGTATTCCTAAAACAAGTTTTAATGTTAAAACCTCTTTTAAAATGCTCTATTGCATATAAGGTGAAACTCAAATTCAATAGCATGGGCTCATGAGGGTCTTTATCTATCCTCCTTCACTTCAGTCCATGGTTTTCCCACCCAGTCCTCTACTAAGGACTTTCATTCATTGCTGCTGCTCCATACCTTCATGTTTTTACCCTGGATGGACCATATTGTCCTCATTGTCCATCTGTGACTGGTTTGCAAGTCACCTTCTTTAGGTGATTTTAAGATTACTACCATTTCCAAATAGCTATTAATTCCTTGATGTCTGTATGTGTCCTCCAGGGCGGCACCCTCGTGACCCTTATTCATTCTTCCCAACTTCCCCTGAACACTTAAAGTTCAGGGCAATGATAACCCACATTTTTTTTTCCATTTCCTCAAATGAGATTCTAAGAAAAACCCCTGCTTTCAGAAGAAGCTGATTCATGTTTGTTAAATGGACAAATAACTTTTAAACATTGCATAGACCATTCTCTTCTTAAAATCTAATGTACATTTATCTTAAGTACCATGTATAACATGGGTACTATTTTCTTATTTGGAAAACAAACATCTGTAACTTCAGAAAGCAGTGTGCTCTTTCCAAATTCCCTGTCCTTTATGAGTTTGTTGAGAGGAATTGCTTTCATGATGTGCCCTTAGTAAAGAAAAAAAGAGAGAGACAGAGATTAATTACCAAGGACTATTTCAATCTATGTGTCTTGACAGAATGAGAAGGGAACAGAACCAAGGGCCCCAACTTCGATTTGGGAGCACAACTAAGCTCTGCTTTTTCTTTCTTTACTGAGTGATATCATTAAGAAAGCTTTATAGTGCTTTGGGCTTCAAAGAACTGAGACTCAAGTCATAACTGGGGTTTATTAGAAAGAAATATATAAGCTTTCTACTCATACAAACTCACCATGATCCAATTATCCAAGATATTCCTAGGACTGACAAGTCTGTCTGTTTGTCTCTCCCTGTTTCCACATTGCTATACACATCGATACACATTGCTGAACACATCTATTCTAGTCATGTATACTCATCTTATGTCCAATCATGTGTCCAATCTTAAGCAAATTCTAGAGGAACTGAGACTAATTGGCTTAGCCCATTGCTAGCCCTCCTTGGTCCCGTGACCATTCAGTGGTTAGGATTACTGATATAGTCTGTTATTGTGTCTGGATGAGGTTACCTGGTTGGAGGAGGTACAAGACCAGAGAAACAGAGTCAGTGACTGGCAAGGCTGGTTCACAGCCATGCAGAGCCACAAGGAAATGTCAGGCAACACTGCAAAAAGCCCTCATGAGGAGATGAGCCTACTTGACTTTAAGATACTCTTGTCTCCTATGACTTTTTTGACTGCCTGTTATCAACTTTGCTTTCATGTTAAGAACTCTCTTCCTTTTTAATATTCTTTCTCCTCCATGCATTCCTTTCTTTACCCTCTTTCCATGCCCACCCACTGTTTTCACAAATTTTGATGGTGGAAGGTTGTCAATTATTAAAAGCCCACAGATCTTTGAATTCTTTGTAAGGAAGATGTGACAAAAATTTGAAGATAATTAACTAATGAACTCTCCCCCTATGGATTTCTCTGTTTACTTCCAACTTTTTTATTTATTTTTTTATTTTATTGTTGTGCTAGATAAGGGTACATTGTGGCATTTACAAATGTTCTTACAATATATGAAATATATCATACTTGAATTCACCTCCTCCACCATTCTCCTTTATCTCCCTTTCCCCTCATTTGAGAAATAGTTTCAACAGGAATCTTTCTGCAAAGCCTTCAAGAATTCCTTCTGGAGTCCCACAATCCAATAGTAGCTAAATTCTTAAAGCAGAGATAAATATTTGCTCAATCCTTTCACATGATTTCTTAGTAAAAATCATGATCTTTGATTATCACATTAGTTATTATTTAGCTATTATAAATTCAAACCACTAAGACACACATTAAGGTTTTAAGTGCTCAATTACCATTACTAAACAGAAAAATTCTTCCTTTGACTATGGTAGGCATAGTCCTGGGTTCATTGTGACCTGCTGAATCAGGAACAGTTATAGCAAACTGAAGCCCCAGTGATGAAAAAACTGGTGTCACAGCGATGAAAAATGACTAACATACTTAGCATTGTGAAAGCCCTTTGGTTGGTGTACTGCCACTTCATTTTAAAAGGATGAACAAGTCCCTGGTGCCTCTCCACAGCAATGCAGGTCATAGTGAGAATTTCTGTCACAATAGCAGTAGATTGGACAAATGGCACCATTTTGCAAATGAAGGCACCTGCAACAAGGAAATAGGACAGTTTTATCTCTCTCTTTGTAATTATCACGATACATTAATTAAGGCTTTCCTCAAAAGTGTAATGACTAAAACTACATTATAGACACAAAATAGTTGAGAAAGGTTACCCTGACTTATATTTTCACTCTCTGGATTCTAACTTCCTAAATGCTATCTAATTTTGTATGATAAAACAATAGGAAGACAAATCAGTATCTAGCCACTGAAGGGGTTGAATGGACCAAAGTAAAGTATACCCATAGTATGCATACATGAGACACCCCTTTGAACATCAACTTCAATATTATAATGAAAAACAGGACTATAAAATAGGTATAGTGTGTGGTAGGGTACTAATGGGAGGGGTGAGGGTAAGTGAAGGAAGATTAAGGTGATGGTATTTGGTAGATGGACTTCATATACCTTATATGAAACAGAACTAAGAAACCTCTTGCAATTGCTTTAAGTGAGGTGGGGAGGGTGCTGAAGGGGAAGAGATGATGGGGGCAAAGTAACTAATGTACAATATAAGTCTAATCAGAACCGTCACTATGAATCCCCCCTGTATATTGAATATATCCTAATTTTTAAAATTATAAAAAAATCTAGCTACTGAAAATAGATAGAAAAATCCATGTGACCTTTGCTTAGGAAAGATCAAAATCAATGTGAAATGGTCTCCTGGGGTCTAAGCTATAGAGAAATCTTTGATTTTTCTTCCCTTTTGGTTCCCTGTGAAATCGTAACAAAGAAATAATTCTTATCAAAGAATCCCAGATTTCCTTTATTATTTATTATTCTCCTCCCACTTTTTACCCAAAATTTTATATACAGAGTATATCATTAAACATTTAACTCACTTTATTTTCTCTAGTACAAAAATCTCAAACTAGTATCAGCTGGGCATAATTTGGTCTGCTAATATGCTTCATTTGCTTTATAAAGTTAAAAAATATTCAAATATACTGCCAATCTCCTTAACTGTTTATGCTATTTGTCTGACCCCTCTGCCATTTGAATTTGTGAGCCCTGGTCTGGCATTTCTGCTCTTGAATTTATCCTGCTCACTGCTTTCAAATGACTTATTTTTGAGTACTGGAAAATCAGAAGCTCAGGGAATAAAATGAATTGGAAGAAATCTCAAAGGTCCTATACTCTAAGTTCACATAAAAAGCAGGAATCTGCTCAACTTTTACAAGTTCTCTGTGAAGCACTACTGAGACACATCCAAAGGCAGCCTCCCAACTTGTACACTCCTACCTGAGGCCTCTGCATGGCTTCTCCTTCTCCACGAAATGTGCTTTCCTAAAAATTCCTCATACAGTTCACTGAAGCCTTTGCTCAAATGTCACTGTGTTGATCGATTTTATGTATCAAGTTGACTGGCATACGGGATACCTAGATAACTGCCAAATCATTACTTCTGGTTGTGTCTATAGGTGTGTTTATGTAAGCAAATTATCATTTTGATCAACAAACTAAGAAGTTCTGCTTTTACCGATGTGGATGGACAACATCCAATCTGCTGAGTGTGCAAGTAGGAAAAAAACATGGAAGAAAGGTGAATTTGCTCTTTGCTTATGTTAGGACAGCCATCTTTTCTGCCCTTGGACATCAGCATTCCTGGTTCTTAGGTCTTAAGATTTGGACTGGAACTACACCACCAGTTTTCTTGGGTCTCCAAATTACACATAGTAGACAGTGGAACTTCTCAGCCTCCATAATTATGTGAACCAGTCCCTCAAAATAAATCTTTTTTCTATATATCGCTTTATAGCCTATTCATTCTGTTTCTTTGGAGAACCATGAATAATATGGTCCCCTTTTCAATGAGGCCGACCTACTTCAACAACCATATTTTTAATGTCAGTCTGTCCCATTTTAATTTCCTCTTGTTCAGTTTTTACTCTTTTTTCATAAGTATTTCACCTTTTACTATACTGACAGGTACATGTATCTATATATGTTGCTAGATAGATACAATGTATATGTTACTAATTTATTTTTATTATTTATTGAAAATCTTCATACCTGAAGTAGAATATAAACACTGTAAGAGCAATGATTTTTGATCATTCTTTTCACTGGTATATTACCAACATTTAAAATGGTGTGCTATGGGCTGCAATAAATATTTGAACTGAAGAGAATTACCAGTAGGCTCTTAAACTCCAAAAGCATCCCATTCAATCTTGGAGGGGCTCTGCTTTTCAATTTCAACCACTTCTAGTTTTGCTTTTAGAAAGTATCAAAACTAACCCACAATCTCATGCATTTGGCTCCTCATGGATTTAAAGAAGCTTTTGTCTCATCTTAAATCCTGTTCCTCATTTGTTATGGTCTTCAGATATTTCAACAACCTGGTCCATGTAGACAGACACTCACCTTATTCAAGTTGTAAATGGACCAAGGCAGAAACTCTGGTTATAAATTAACTTTCCAAGTCTGAACACCCTCTCCTGAAAATGTAACTAAAGTTTAAATCAGCTCTTTGTGTTAGACTTTTTTTTTCTTTTCCTTTTATCATTTTTACATTTACTTATATGTGTATACATTGTTTGTGCACCTCTCCCCCACCCCCCACCCACCCCAAACCCCCATTTCCAGGCAAAACCTGTTCTACCCTCTTCTTCAATTTGTTGAAGAGAAAACATAAGAGACAATAAGGAAGACATAGCATTTTTGGTAGTTTGGGATAAAGATAGCTATACAGAGAGATTCCTAGCATTGCTTCCATGCACTTGTGTATTGCAACCCACATCGGTTCATTTCTACCAGACCTCTTCGCTACTTCCTGGTCCCCTTCCCACAGTGGCCTCTGTTACTTTAAGATTACTGTATTTGCTCCTCAACAGGGAGCACATCAACCACATTCAAGTTTTAGGTTTCCTTTCCTTTCCTTATTTTCCCCATGCATGTTCTTCCCTTAGTGTGTGACCCATGTCCAATAATATTACTGCATTTGTTTTGGGTCTATAATCTATATATGAGGGAGACATGTGACTTTTGGCTTTCTGAGCCTGGCTAACTTTGCTTAAAATGATGTTCTCTAATTCCATACATTTACTTGCAAATGACAAAATTTCATTCTTCTCCATGGCTGAGTAAAATTCCATTGTGTATAAATACCACATTTTCTCTATCCATTCATGAGTTTCCATAGCTTGGCTATTGTAAATAGTGCTGCAATAAACATGGCGTGCAGGTGCCTTTGGAATAACCTGAGTCACATTCTTTGGGTATATGCCTAAGAGTAGTTTTGCTGGATCATTTGGCAAATGTATGTTCTTTTTTCCCCGCATCCTCATCAACACTTGTTGTTGGTGGTGTTCTTGAAGATACCCATTCTAATGGGGGTGAGGTGGAATCTTAGTGTGGTTTTGATTTGCATGTCCTTTATGGCCAAGGATGGTGAGCATATGTTCATGTGTTTTTTGGTCTTTTGGATTTCTTCCTTAGAAAAGTTCTGTTTAGTTCAGTTGCCCACTTCTTTATTGGTTCATTGATTTGAGGGGAGTTTAGTTTTTTAAGCTCCCTGTATATTCTGGTTATCAGACCAGAATAGCTAGCAAACATTTTTTCCCACTCTGTGGGTGGTCTCTTCAATTTAGAGACCATTACTTTTGTTGTGCAGAAGATTTTTAATTTCATGTAGTCCCATTTGACCATCCTTTCTCTTAGTTGCTGGGCTGCTGGAATTCTACTGAGGAAGTCCTTGCCTATTCCTGTTGTTTACATGGTATTCCCTGGTCTTTCTTATACTAACGGCAAGGTCTTGGGTCTAATATTAAGGTCCTTAATTCACTTTGAATTGATATTAGTATAGGGAGACAAGCATAGATCTAGTTTTAGTTTTCTGCAGGCAGATAACCACTTTTTCCAGCACCATTGTAGAAGAGGATGTCTTTTCTCCATTGTATGTTTTTGGCACCTCTGTCAAAGATAAAGTGGGCATAGCTGTGTGGATTCATATCCGGGTCCTCTATTCTATTCCACTGGTCTTATCTGTTTTTGTGCCAGTATCATGCTGTTTTTATTACTATTGCTTTGTAATATAGTTTGAAGTTGGGTATTGTGATACCTCCAGCATTGCTCTTTTTGCTCAGTATTGCCTTGACTATTCAGTCTTTTGTGTTTCCAAATGAACTTTAGGGTAGATTTTTCAATCTCTGTGATGAATGTCATTGGAACTTTGATGGGTATTGCATTGAACATATAGATTGCTTTTGGTACTATAGCCAGTTTTACTATGTTGATTCCACCAATCCATGAGCACGGGAGATCTTTCCATCTTCTGTAGTTTTCCTTGATTTTCTTCTTCAGTGGTTTATAATTCTCCTTCAAGAGGTCATTTACACCCTTCATTATGTTTACTCCTAGGTATTTAACCTTTGAGGTTGCAAATGGGATTGTTTTACTGTATTCTTTCTCAATTTTTTCACTTTTGGAGTATAGAAAGGCTACTGATTTCTGTGAGTTGATTTTGTATCCTGCTACATTGCTGAAGCTGTTTATGGTGTCTAGAAGTTTTTGGGTAGTTTTTTGGGTCTTTGAGGTTAGGATTATGTCATCTGCAAACAGGGATGTTTTAACTGTTCCTTTACCAATTTGTATTCCTTTTATTTCTTCTTCTTGCCTTTATTGCTCTAGCTAGGAATTCCAGGACTATGTTGAATAGGAGTGGGGAGAGTGGGCACCCTTGTCTCGTTCCAAGTTTAGGGGGAATGATTTCAGTTTTTCCTGTGGTAGACTTTTTAAATGGCTGATTTCTGTTCAATTTGAAAGGACTTGGTCAAATTAAAAGAAATTTTTATTAGACCCAGATTCCCTCACCTCTGCTCCTTATTACTAAGGGGGGAAAGGAATGTAGATATCACTCTTGATACTACTTTCCAACCCCCTTTTGGAACTTCAGATGAGAACCCAAGAACCAATACCACTCACTCCCATTTCCTGCTCCTGTTTCTCAAATCTCACTCCTACTCAAAGTAAAGTCCCTT